GGCGAAAATGCACTTTCTCTTTTCAACCACTGAGAATCTGTAGGGATGGCGTGTTCTTCCATTTAACAGCAAATTTAGAATTTGAGAAGTCGTATCATTTGGTCAGATAGAAAAAAAATAACATTAAAGAGGCTGATGGCCCTTTCAGGTCCAGGAGAAACTGTGCAAATATCAGAACAGAAGGTGCTAGGGAAGCAGCCGTGTCTGCTCTGTGTAGGGCACATCCTACATAGGTAGAAGAAGCTGGTGGTTCCTGCCTCGCTGCAGGGTCAGCTTACAAGGGGCCAGGTGGTTACAGAAACCCATGCTCGAGGCTTTTCTGTGACAGAAGTAAAAAAGTGACCTTTTCATCCTCCTCTTGGTGAAAGTCAGAACCAATTGGGACTATCATACCACAACGGGAACTAACTCCCCTCTTGGCCTCTGTCTAAACCCGTCTTTTTTCATTGCACTAGACTTTTAAATCCCAGAGAACATGAAGGTAAAATCAGTCCTTGGTGTAGGATTACACTTAAGAAATAACCTTCTTATGGATCTTGTCGGAAAAGACAGCAATATTGGTTTGGGTTTCTTACCAAAGATAAATGACAAGCGGTGAGGCTTCTGGTTTAAAGAGCAATCTCAACCAAGGGAATCCAAGCAAGAATGAAGCAGAATTGAGATGTGGGCAGAATGCCAGAATCCGTTTGCTACTTCTGCTCTGCTCTCCCCACTAACTGCCTGTTTTATTCTCTTTTCAACTCCTTGCTCTCAGTTTATACAGGCAGTTCTTGAAGCTCCATAAAACTGTTTCAAATAGACCCTTTCTTTGTCCTCCACTAAAGTAAGTCATCTGCATCAATACTGAGGACACCAATTGCCATACCTTAGAACTAAAGACTTCAGGTTAAAAGGCAACCTTGTAACAAAAAAGAAAAGCAGTCATAAAAAAGCAAATATACATAGATCAATAGTGATACATTTTATAAGACAATATATGGGAATGATCAATGAAACACAATATGAATGTAAAAAAATTTTTAAGTATATAAAAAGAAAGAAAAGGGAAAATATAATTGGAGAAAAAGTAAATATAGAAAGCAAGCAATCTAGGGTTTGGGTTTTACCTAATCCTCTGAAAGAGGGACTGGATACTCATTAAAAACACATAAACTTAGGTATTTTCTCTAACTTAAGTTTTACAATAGTATCTAAATCCATCTTAAGCTTTCTGCTTTAAACCTTTCATACACATGTATACTTTTTATGTCTAAATTTTTCATAAATAACAGATAAAAATATTCTTAAAGTGCTTATCAGTCAATCAAGAAAAAAAATGTTATTGGGTATGTGGAGTCAGAAGTGACCCACAGTCGACCCTCCAGTGGGTTTCAGAGGCAGTAAATCACATAGGGGAAGAATGTCCATCTTTCTGCGATGGAGCAGCTGGTGGATTCGTACCACGTACCTCTGCACTGGCAGTGCAATTCCTTACCACCATGCCACCAGAAGATAAAGCTTTGTCTCACACACTTTTGGCATGTTGCTGGGAGAGGGACATAATGCTTGGGAAGGTGGAGGGATGGTGAAGGAGAGAAAGACCCTCAACTAGGTGGGCTGACAGAGTCACTGCAGCAGCGGCCTTGAGTGTGTGAGAGACTGTGAGGATGACACAGGATAGGCCAGGGTTTAAAACTGCTATTCATAGGGTCACTGTGAGTCTTACTCGACTCCACGGCACCTATCAACACCAACAATGACACCATGGTTCCTGAAGAATGATTTAACTTCAAGTTGCTACCTAATTCCATTATAAAGCTACATGTTACCTGAGGGCTGAGTTTTAATCTCAGAGTTCTGAGGACATGTCACGAAGAACAAAGATTAACATAAATTCTTCCCAGAAGAGTACTTGTACTACCGTTACACTCAATATGCCCCCTGGAGAGAAAAGCAGCAAAAATCACGGCCTGAGAGAATGGGGAAATTCAGCATGAGCTTTGAGAGACAGGAACCAGAGAGCATTTGGAGGAGGACCCAGGTACCCACGGGGAGTGAGACAAGTTGGCTGTACGAGAGCTGAACCGAAACTATCCATGCAGAGGACACCCTTGGCTGGACACTTGTCAAAAGAAACAGAATGCTAAGATTCACTTTTGTTGAAAATCTGCAGTTTATCAATTTAGACCTCAGGGGGTGGATATATGGATGTTCACTGTACCATTCTTTTAACTTAAATATACCTATGAAGTTTCTCGTAAGAAAATGCTAACATGTTAAACATTTCTTGCTTTCTAAAAGACCTGACTATGTCTGTCAACACACTATAATAATAGCATAACTAAACAAACTGAAGAACTCCGCCAGTGGGTGTATAGAATTCCAGGCCCCTCTCCTAAAATCAACAATTTCTTTTGATTATTTGCTAACATGTATTTGTGGTCTAGAGAGCAGGGTGTAAGTGAAAGCAAATGCTTTTCATGTCATTGTTCTATAAATGGACAGGGAGAGGACTATTCCACTTAGGGCTTGCAAGGGCTAGGAAATGTTCAGTAGGACTTGTGCTTACGTGAATAATCTTTTGTCCCTAAAGTTCAATTTCTTCAGAAGTTTGCTATAAGAATAGGAAATAGATGAAATTCTCTTCATTTAGCTATTTTGTGCTAATGAAACAAAGAGGCCCTGACTATTGGTGACACACCAGTATCAAATGAACTGTAACATGGCCCAGGGCTCCCGAGTGACCAGACAGTAACAGGCACACAGAGGTAGAGGGAACAGAGATCCCTGAAGCAACAGAATTCAGATTCGACAGAACTAAGGACAGAGACTTTCATGGCGTACACACAGAAGTGTTATCCCAGAGAGCTTGCTATGCCTGACAGCTCCTTCTGGAAAGAAATAATAAACAGGAAAAGTAAGCATGGTTTTAGCTGACTGAAAAGTAGCTCAGTAGAAAATGACTCTATAAAGATTGTATTCGGTTAGCTAAGGCATGGTTCAACTTCAGTGATTAACGTAGTCATTCTGCCATCTGATGGGTTGATGCCCTGCAAGTTTGCTTTGTTACTATTCAAAGAGAAAGTCACAAGTAATTCCTTACAAGGTATATAAAGTTGGCCAGTGTTAATCCTCTACAAAATTCACTCACAAATATAAAATAAGGGAGGTGTGATGCTCCAAGAACAGGAAAGTTATGGAAATCTTACCCAATTTGGGCTTTGTTTTCAGGGGAACAGAAGGCGCAGAATGCATCATCCTTCATTCACGGTATAGATGCCACCACAGACCTACTGTGAAGAGTCTTGTCCTCAAGTTCCTGCTCCAGTAGAGAGGAAAGGTTTAGTCTGAGGCACCCACACAGGGAAGGAAAGAGCCAAGACGCCAAGAAAGGTGACTCCTCAGAATAGGTAAAGGACCAGAAACCACAGGCCTCTGATTGGCTAGGCAGGCCCCTTGATGGGCAGGTTCCCTCACAACGTGGTTTCCTCCCTGAATGCTGAGCACTCTGGCATCATCTCCCTCTGAAGGGAAGACCCCGCCTAAAGCATCACAGCACTGCCTGCAGCAACATCCTCACCTCCCAACTTCTCCTGAAATCATCACCATTCATTCCTCTGAAGAGGTGGGGGAAAACCTTCTGAGGAACAGATGAGAACACTTTCAAAGGCAAAATGAAATGTGTTTTAAAAAATAAATAAGGTAATAAGTTAACCTAGTTATTCCTCACAATGGTAAGGCAGTAACAGACCTGACACAGGAATAAGAAGCAAGGTGGGAAACGAGGACAGTGGGAGCCCCTCCTCATCCTCCTCTGCTGGAGGCCCTGGCTCCGCGGACCACCCGCTCCAGCACCAGGCGCGGCAGCACCACCTGCACCCTGCCACCCGGCCGGGCCTCGGGAACATGCAGACTTTGGCAGAGTAAAGAAAAGACACAAGCAGCAGCGACAATGCAGCTTAACTAACACCTTCCCTTAAGAAACTCTGAAAACCAAAAGCTTTAAATCTCAGTGCAGGAAACCAAACCCTCGAACCTCTGAAGGCCTGCCTGGTCTCCCTGCTTTGAGCTCCAGAGCAAGCTTTCTACACAGCACTCTTAACTTTAAAGACATGAAAGAGTTGGGGAGAGAGCCCAGAGTGCTTGCTTTGGTTGGCTTCTCACTGAGACCTTCTCTGGGATTAGACCTACCCTCCTTTGATTACACAAGAAGTAACTTACTAGTACTTGGCTGTCACAGTTGTGGGTTATAAGATCAACCCAGTACTTCACTCCCCTGCCCCTGCCCCCAACCCTGGGAAGAAAATTGCCACTTGAAGCAAGAAGTGAGGGAGGCAGTTCTTCATTCCAGAGGATTTCAGAGGACATTGATTATCACTTTTGAGTGCATGGAAGTTCTTGCTGTAACCACAGACAGAGACTCGGGAGAGGAGGGGAGGAGGAGGCTAACCACCCAGAGTCAGCATTTGCCTCCAAAGGCAGTGAGGGCTCCCCATCCTGCGCAGGAAGAAGACCAACCAGCAGGTGGGAATACGGCAGTGATGAGAGGCTGGACAGAGCGTTCTCTGTCCCAAGGACTGGCTTCCTTCAGGGACAATGTGCTTTGCCCTCTTCTGGCACCTCAAACAGTAAAAAGAGTGGGTGTCACTAAATGCATCTGGGAGAGGAGAGAGCAGAAATCGGAGTAATACACCTTGGACGAAGAGAAATGATTTTTAAAAAACCCAAACGCTACATCCTTTTAGGGTCTTGCCTGATGAGTGCCTTCATAAGAGGGATTTTGCTGGAGCCTAAAGCCAAAAGAGTGAGTTTTGGGGACTACAGAACAGAGGCACTACAGTACCACCTGCAGAAGCCAAAAAAGGGGGGAGCAACGTGGGGTCAACAATCAGGCCTGCCAGGTAGGGTGTGAGGGCCAGGAGCCTCCCACGCTACTTGTGGCTCTTGTCGGTTCAAAACAAGAGGCGACAGCTGGCAGCTCGCTCCGGCCAGCAAACACCTGGCCTTGGGCCAGCGGCCTTTCAGCTCGTGTAGTAGACGTGGAAGTATAGAGTCTTGTTGCGCAGCAGGGAGTAAGAGTTGTCAAACTTGAGCAGGTAGACACCCTCGCCCGGGTAGTCGTGGCTGCCAGCCTGCACATCCCGGTGACTGTCCCGCCGGTACACGGGCATGACTTCCCCATAGCGATTCCGGAGGGAGCTTCGGGAACCTCTCTCCACATCGCCAACTGGGACAGGATCTGCAGGAACAAAAAGCAGCAGAGTGTTTGGATATGAATTCCAAAGCAGAGTAAGTCCAGTCCTCATCAGGGGCCCAGGTGATGAAAAGCTTGACTCACAGGATGCTACTGGCCTCCTGTAAGCATGTGGAAATATCTGGTGGTTTTTATGTTCATTGTTGTTGTTGTTGATTACCTTAGAGTCGAGCACGACTCATAGCGACCCCATGAACAAAAGGCCTGAAATCTCCCTACAACTAGCGACATTACACACACACACACACACACACACACACACACACATCCATTATGAGATTTAGCAGGCACTATTGTTATTTATTGCTCAAGGATCCAGAAGTGTTAAACATTAGGACAGTCGTACAAGAAGTATCCCCCAAATGCCAATGTCTCCACTGAAAAACAATGATTTAGCCTTAAAGGAACCTCCCTAGTTCTAGAAACAAAGAATTTTCAGAGGCATGAGGGGCAGAGAAGAGGGTGGGTGGGAAGTCAGTGACAGAGGAAGGTACTAACTTCTAGTGGCAGCCAAAAGAACTGGCCAGGTGAGGTAGAAAATGACAAAGGTGCCACCCCAGAAGGTCCATGTGGCCCACTGCATGTAAGCGGGCCTCCTCCCTAAATACCTGAAGGTTTCCCAGCAGACTTGTTTCCACAAAGAAGGAGATTAAGGAATTGATTTTTAGATTGCTTAGAATGGACTCTTAGATCAATGCGTAAGAGTCGTACTGAGAAAGGGGCCACAGGTAATAACTGGAATGGAGCAGGGATCACTTTGAAATCAGCCCTAAGTATACGAAGTGAAGTAGTGTCTAGTAGTCAGGCAGAAGTGACATTTTGGATAAGGGGCAGGGAGAAAAGGGTACATTTAGCAAATCATAATTATGTTTGGTTCTGGGCCAAGAATAAATATCCTGAAACCAAGAGACGAATGTAAAATAATCTCTACCTCTAAGTCCTGTCTCTGCCCCTGATCACCCTTGCCTCCACTGGGATGTTTGGATGAACTCTACATTCTGATGCAAAAGAAAAGGAAGCTTCCAACTATGGCATCTCCCCAGGAATTGAGGAGTAATGCTTTCAAGTTGAGGACTAAAGTGCATCTGATCCAGGCCATGGTCTTTCTGATCACATGCTGTCCATCTGAGAGCTGGACAATGAATAAGGTTGACAGAAGAAGAATTGATGCCTTGAGTTACAGTGCTGGAGGAGAGTACTGAACATACCATGGACTCTACGAAAAGAAAACAAGTTAAGTCTTGGAGAAAGTAAGCCAGAGTACACTTTGGAGGCAAAGATGATAAAGCTTCGCTTTACATATGTAGGGCATGTTGCTAGGTAAGGCTATTCCTTGGAGAGGGACATGATGCTTGGAAAGGCGGAGGGTTGGAAAAGAAGAGGACCGTCAACTGGGTGGACTGACACGGTGACTGTCGCAGAGGGTTCTACTCTGTCAGGAAGTGTGACGGAATAAGGTTCAGATCTGTTGTTTATGGGGTGGGTATGGGTTGTACTCAACTTGATGGCACCTGACAACAGCAACCAAGGCATCAACACCAAGCCCATGAGAATATCATTTAAGGGCCTGACTTCGCCCTGCACTCCCAACTTAGCTTGCAGAGTTGAAGGAGACCTCTGCCTTCTAGGGACAGAACAACTAGTGGCACTTAAAGGGCTCACAAGACACCCAGCTGAACCTGCAAATTAGGTACACATTAAAGTTACCTTCAATCTCCTCTTCCTCTTCTTCTTCATCCTCATCCTCACTGGAATCACTGACCTGCACAGTTATGTCAGTGCTGGTTACAGGGGTCCAGTCAAAATAGACTCCAAAGCCAATGTCATAGTCATCAGTCGCGAACTCCCAGCAGACGCGCTTTCCCTCTGGATGGGTAGGCACCCGGATGGTCACGACTTCACCCCGCTTCACCACCAGGTGACTGTTCTTGTCTTTTCCAAGCTTGCTTTTGAATTCCTTCATCTTGGCAAAGGTCCAGGTGCACGGAGGAGCCATAAGCGGTGGGGAAACTGAAAGGAGAAGCAGCTTACTACTGAGAAATCAGGAGAAAATGCTACGCTCCGTGGTATCTTACTTAGACATGTTCTCATAGCCAAAGATATTCTTTCCATTTGTTTCTTGACTTGCTTTTCACTAGTCATGTCATTTCTCTCCTTCCTTCCTTCCTCCCTCCCTCCCTGCCTTCCTTCCAAAAGGAAAAACCAGAATGTCTTTGATACTCCAAAGGTCTCACCTTTCCTGTGGTCTCCCAGAAGATCTGCAGATTCCAGGTCAGCAGAGAGAATATCTATAGCTCCTGTGTGCTCAGACTGGATCATAACGATGTCTCCAGACCTCTGTGGAACCTGGTGCCTGGCCATCTGCACAAGAGAATTTTAGTTGCAGGACATAGTAAGAGTGGCAGGTTCCAATTAACCTCTTCTAAGTGAAGGTTGCCCTCCTGCCTCTTGACTTCCATGATTCCAAATCAAAGCCCGATATGCTAGTCAGCGCTCCTCTTTCCTCCAGGTACAAGCTGCTAATAAAATTAAAACTCACTGCTATCAAGTCAGAACTGACTCATACCTCACCCTCCACTGAGCTTCCGAGGCTGTAAATCACACAGCAGAGGACTGCCCATCTCTCTCTTAGTGCCACGAATGGACTAGAACCAACCTTTGGGTTAACAGCACAACTCTCTCCATCAGACGATGCCACCTGAGCTCCCTGTCTTCTGATATGTTCTAAAACAATGCCTCTTATTTTTTTTTTAACAATGCCTCTTATTTTAAAGATCCCTCCTGTTCTCTCTTAAATTCTCCAGCTTGCCACATTGAAGCCTTTGCCCTTGCAGCTCACGATGGTCATTTGCATCAAGCAGCAACTCTGGGCTTTGGTGCTGCTCCGCCCTGCGCAGGACTTCCCTGGGACTTTTCCCATGACAGCTCTGGCATCAGGGGCTTAGCTGGCCTGCCCTGCTGGCACACGTCCTCCAGCTACAATTCCACTCAGGAGCTTGCCAAGATGACTGGCAGTCAAGAGGTAACAAAACAACTGCAGAAGGACTTTGGTTCTCTCTGTTTCCTTCTGGTTCCCCCTCTCTCTCTGCCCCATTTCGCTTCCACTTGAGTCTGTGGTCAAGGCCACATGCAAACTCTGCTGTTTGGTTAGGCCGTCTGCACACCTTAGGCTACAAGGTCTCACTCTCTGTCACAGAGAGTGCTCTGTAAATAAATGCAATCTCGTTGTAGACAAGCCCCAGCACTTGTGTTTACACTGTGTATTTGCTGTCGTACATGTGACTGGCATGGATGAGATGTTCTCACCCTTCCATTTTGTATCCAAATCCCACACTAGCCCATGGCAGCAACCTGCAATCTCTCCCTGGTAGCTTGGCCTTTAAATCACTCAGATTAGTGTTCCCTGATTCCCTGCTCGTATGTTAACTTCTTAGGCCTTCTCTAAGCAGTGGACAGGCAACTCAACAAGAAGTGTGGACTGCTGCCTACAACGAAGAGTCTGTCAGGGAGACAGCAGTCCAGCTGAGAGTCAGAAATGCATTTTCAAGAAATGAGCACATCAAGTTTGTAATCCTGCCAGGTTGTACCCTTAAAATCTTTGTTTCTGGAAAATAAACCCACTAGTTCTTATCTCCCATACTAAATAAGATGAAATAGATGTTGGCTAGGGTGCTTAAGTCCTTCCTTCTCCAAAGGCTGAACGAAGGATTAAGTTTGCAAATTATTAGCTGCATAATCTTAGTAACTAAAGCCTCAGTTTACTCTCTTCAAAATGGGGACAACAGTACCTGTATCACAGAGTAGTTCTCAGGAGTACGTGACATTTTTTAAGGAAAATGTTTTGTAAACTTTGCACATTATACAAATATACTTACTGTGCTTGATGTTACAGCTATTGATATTATTAATACCACTAAGTATTATAATAGAGAAATCTGGAGGCCTAGTGGCAAGAAGCTGTGTTACAATCCCAAAGGCACATGGTTCTAATCCAGCAGCTGATCCACTGGAGAAGGATGGGCAATCTCCTCCCATTTGTTTAACTGCCTCTGGAAACTCCCCGAGGGTCAGCTGTGGGTCAGTTCCAACTTGACAGGACACAAGTATTATAACTGGGAGCTCTGATAGCCTAGTGGTAAGGAGTTTCTCTGCCAACCCAAAGGCAGGCAGTTCGAATCCACTAAATGTTCTGAGAGAGAAAGATGGGTAATCTCTTCTTATGTGATTTACAGCCACTGGGAGTCAGCTATGAGTTGGTTCTGACTTGACAGCACATAACAACAACAATAAGTATTATAATACATCTATTAGCAGTGATGTTAATAGCCCATACTTCCAGGGCAGAAGGGGCCAGTGCTCTAATAGCACCAATTCTGTGAAATCTCTACAATAAATACTAGATATACTACAAAAAGAACCCCTGAGCCTAAAATGCAGACTAATCATTTAAGACTCTCAGATAGACTGACCCAGTGACTTAAAGCAACGGGTCTGAGCATGGCAGAGAGAGTGAGGAAGGCACAGGAGAGGGTAAAGTTTTAATCTGCTGTTCACAGAATTGCTGTTAAGTCACAGTAACAACAAAACCAAAAAGATTTTAGGGAGCCCATGAGCATTCACTCTGTTATTTCATTTTGTGAGGAGATGTACACTGAGTTCATACACACACACACACACACACACAGGATTTTCAAAGGCCTGTAATTTCAGAAGTGGATGGCCAATCCTTCTTCCTAGTCTGTCTCAATTTTTAAATATATATAATAGTATCTGACAGACAAGCATTCTACAGAAAAGAGTAGATGAAAAACATTTACCAGTTAGACCAATATTCAATGTTGCTGCCCACCCGGCTACATGTTTGGTTGGCACAGGATAGAACAGTGTTTAGAGCTCTTGTATATAGGGTCACTATGAGTCGCAAATGACTCAATGGCACATAACAACAACAAATATATATATATACACATGTATACATATACATATGTATATGTATATGTCTATACATACATTTTCCACATAATTAAGAATAAGATGTTCTACTGGGAACAGAAAGACAATCCTGTGAGCCACCTTCACAGTGTTTCTAAGTTGAATCTACCTGTTATGCATCTGAATTTGGTCATCACAAACCACTCTCATGGCGGAGGGGGGACGGGGGAAAGAAAAAGAGAATGTGCTCCCCACCTTGTTTAGGACTGGGGCCCGGTCTGCAGGGAGTGATTCCTGGTCCAAGGCCCGAGCCTCCAAGGTTCCAACTGCCTTCTGCAGATCGGTGGCATCCTGGCTCCCCGGAGATACCATCTGTGGCCTCTCAGAGGGAAGACAGCAGATAAATTTGGGAGTTCTTTTAAAAGATGTAATCAGTCTGGAGAAATTCTGAAATAAAGCAAGATTCAAAGGATATCCTCCTTCCTAACCCCATCCGTCTGCCATTTAGGTTTATTTGTCATGTTGGCCAATCACTGTTTGAGGCTGAACTAGCCCACAGAAAAAAAGCAATAACACGTGAGGGTCCAAGAGCCACCCAATTCCAGTCCTAGGCATGGGGAATATGGAAACACACAGCTTGATTATCACAGGTGGAAGCCAGGCCCGGCTATTTGGCTGTATTCCTTACAATAGCACTCACACCATTTGTTCCCCTTAGAATTTCAGCAAAGAAAGAATCAGATCTCTGGTTTTGTTCTACATAACCACTGGAGAGAAGCAAAAGGAAGGGGCCTCTCCTAAAGCAGAGAATGATCACAAAAATAAAAAGAAAAAAAATGCAAGCTGATTGTTGTTATGTGCCATCGAGTCGCCCGTGACTCATACCGACCCTATGTACAATAGCTCTGAACCCTGCCCTATCCTGAGCCAGTCTCACTGGAAACTCTCCTTCATTCCAGGAGCAAAAGTCCTTCCAGCACTTCTATTTTGCCAGGCTATAATAGAAGCCATCACTCAACCGTTTTGAAGCACATTAATCAACCACTCAAAGACTTAAAACAAAGCTACTTGGCAGTTGATTTTAAAGAGGCAAGAGAATTATTTGTACTCTTTCATCTCTCCTGCTTTCACAGAGACTAGAAAAGGACAATAGATGCTATGCTGCAACACACCAGCTCAGGTGTGTTTAGAAATCTACTGCCAATGAAAAGTACAGGTTCTCTGGAGTGGCAGTTATCAAGGAGTGGTCAGGGACGCCTGAGGTGTTTTGGGGATCCTTTCAGGGGAGTCCATGAACTCAAAAACTATTTTTTTAAATTAATTTTAAAGAAAGTTTACAGAGACTTAGGGTTTCCAGTCATTCATTGTTTCACTTTTCTCCTTTCCCACCCTCTTTGCCCCATTTCACTCTTCTTCTTGAAAAGAAAAATAAAAACTCTTTCATTGTTATGCAATCCCCCCCCTCCCAAGTCCACTCCACTATGCAGCCTTCACTCTGGACTTCTGTAATGACAAGAATACCCATTCATGCATCCCTTTTAAACAGTTCTCTCCCTCAACTGTTACAATGCAATATACATCATTACTCTCCTCCTTTTCTGTCTTCCCTCAACCCTGATGTCAGTCCTGTTTTACAACAGTGGCCCTATGCAATAGTGACTGAGTTTTCACTCAGCATAATGTCCTCCAGGGTCATCCATTTTGCATAATATTTCATGAGTTCCTTGTTTTTCAATGCAGCGTAGTATTCCATTGTGTGAATATACCACAGCTTTTCTATACATTCGTTTGTTGGTGAACACTTGGGTTGTTTCCAACTCCTTGCTATTGTGAACAAAGCCGCGGTAAACATGGGTGTGCATATATCTGCTTGGGTGGCAGTTCTGGTCTCTTTGGGATATATTCCCAGTAGTGGAATTGCTGGGTCAAATGATATTTCTATTTCCAACTTTTTGAGAAAGCGCCACACTGCCTTCCACAGTGGTTGCACCATTTTACACTCCCACCAACAGTGAATAAGGGTTCCAGTTTCTCCAAAACCTCGCCAGCATTTGATGTTTGCTGTTCTGTTAAATTTTGCTATTCAGACTGGGGTGAGATGATATCTCACTGTTGTTTTGAAAACTATTTTTGTAACCGTTGTTGTGAGGTGCCATCAAGTCAGCTTCCACTCCCAGCGATCCCATGGACAACAGAACAAACCACTGTCCTCGCTTGCACATCCCCACCAGCATGTTGCGGTGCTGGAGCCCGCTGTCACAGCCCCGGTAAGAATCCACTCACTGAGGGCCTTCCTCCTTTCCCCTGACCTTCTACTTTATCAGACATGATGTCTTTCTCCAGAGACTGGCTCTTCCAACAACATGCCCAAAATACATGGGACCAAAAATCTCACGATTATTGCTTCTACTGAACATTCTGCAGCACTTCTTCCAAAACAGACCTATTTTTCCTTGTGCTACCATTGTTGTTATGTGCCTTCAAGTGGGAATCAGCTCACCGCTGACACTCCAGTGGGTTTTCAGAGGCTGGAAACAGCACAGGAGGAGATTACCTATCTTTCCCCCATGAAACAGCTGGTGGATCTGAACTGCTTGCTTTGGGGATAACAGTGTAATTCCTTACCCCTGAGCCACCACAGTCCAAAGGTTCCTTGATTTCCTTAATTTACTCTCTAACTTTCACGTTTATTTGAAGCAACTGAAAATACTGTGACTTGGGCCAGGTATACCTTTGTCTGCAAAGTGACATTCTTGCTCTTTAATACTATACAAGAGGTCATCGACAGCACATTTGCCCAAAGCAATCAGTCACTTGACATCTTGACTGTTGCTTTCATGAGTGTTTATTATGAATCTAAGTAAATCCTTCTTCTCCACTTATCTAGATGCTGTTTACCAGTTTGGTTGTGAGGATTTTTGTTTCCTCATCATCTCTAAGCTTCATTAGTAAGTGCTTCAAAACCTAATTTTCTGCAAGCAAGGCTGTGTCATGCGTGCCTCATAAGCTGTTAAGGTTTCCTCCAACTCTAAAGCCTTATTTTCCTTCATATAATTCAGCTTACTGAATTATTTGCTCAGTAAAAGTATGATAAAAAAACAGAAGGGGAAAAAAACCAACCCAAAACACACACAACCCTGTTGTATACCTTTCTTGATTTTAAGCTATGCAGAACTGTCTTGTTCCATCTGAATAACTGCTTCTCAGTCTATGTACAGGTTGCACATGAATTCAGTTAAGTGTGCTAAGATGCCAGTTCTTCTCACCATGATCCATAATTTGTTTTGCTCCACTTAGGCAAATGCTTTTGCACAGTCAATAAAATATAGATCAACTTCTTTCTGGTATTCTCTGCTTTCAGCCAAGATCTATCTTACATCGGCAATGATATCTCTGTTCCAAGAAAAGACTTTTTTTCTCTTTTTTAATTTTATTATATTAATTTTAATGAACATTTACAGAGATCTTGGATTTCCATTCATTCATTGTTGCATTTTTCTCCCTGCCCACCCCTCCCCAAAAAAGACTCTTTTTTTTTTACTACTTTTTGTGTGTGTACTGCCAAATCAGATTTGATTGGTACAGGAGGAGACTGCACCTCCTTCTCCAGCAGAGCATCTGGTGGATTCAAACAGCAAAGAAAAGACTCTTTACAGTAGATTCTTCTGATTCTAGCTTGACTTTCTGGAAGTTCCCAGCCAACTGTACTTCATAATCAGGCTAAATAAATGACTGAGAAACAGCTGAGGACTTCATTTTGGAGTTCATTTGTTTTCTTAATTTCTCCCTCCTTTTAATATTAACAAGGGGGTGAAAATCAGTCCTAATTTATAAATTACCTATTCTTTAGATAATATGGAGACATATTTTAGAATATTCACATCAATGCAACAAACCTCTGAAAGTCAGAGCTCGTGGATACTAGTTGAGTTTTTTTGGCTTGTCTGGGAAGCCAGTGTAAGCTGTAAATCAGTCTAGCTGTAGGCCTCTTTTTTTCTCTCCTTAGTCACAGAAATTACAAACCATTTTTGTTCTGGGCACCTGTCTCTTCTACTAGAAGGTGAGCTTAATGATGGCAGGGAGGGACCTTACACCCCCTGTAAGCACAGCTCCTACCCAGTCTGTCATCTGGAACTCTGAGGCCCTTTGCATTCCCCCCTTGTTTCCTAGACTCTTCTCCAGGCCCCTTGAAACTGTGATATTCCTCAAACACTCCTTTATTATAGGGCCTAATTGTCTTATGTTGTTGTTGTTGTTGTTTACCGTCAGGTCGGAACTGAGCCATAGCTAACCCAGTTAATCGCCTGGGAGGAGATTGCCCATCCATCTCCCGCAGAGCAGCTAGTGGCCTCGAACTGTGTGTCTCTGGGATTGCAGCACAGTTTCTTGCCACTAAGCCACCAGAACAAGACTGGAAGCAGGAGTAGAATCCACTTCCAAAATAGCTTACCTCCGAAAATCCTATCAGCTTGGAGAAATGATGAAAGTTACACAAGTGTTCAGGTCTTTCGTTCATAGGGTCGCTATGAGTTGTCTATGACTCTATGGCACTTAACAACAACAACAACAACAACAATTGTCTTATAAGGAGACTTGGTTATATAGTATATTATGAAACAGGCTGCTATCATAAAGGTCACTAGTTCAAACCTGCCAGCCAATCCATGGAAGAATGATGGGTAGTCTCTTCCCATAAAGATTTATAGTCTCAGAAACCCAACACAGAGTTGCTATGAGTTGAAACCATCATTTCTGAAAAGGATTCCCAAGATGCCTAAGAAATCTTTCACCTCTCCTCTCTTCATTTTTCTCACTGCACTTATTACTATCCAGGACACCTTCCCACCTCATCTAAAATGGCACAGGATTTGCATATAACCTACGCACATCCTCCTGTATATTTTAAATCATCTCTAGGTAAGTTATAACACCTACCACAATAAAAATGCCATGCAAACAGCACTTTATGACCCTTCTTTGCTTTTGAGGGATTGCTTTGACAATTTATTTGCTTTTTTTTTTCTTTCTTGAATAATTTTGATCTGTAGTTGATTGAACCTAGACTACAGAACCCACAGATTCAGAAGGCTGGCTACAGGAACGGAAACACAGTTCTGTCTTCTGTAGGGGAGCTCGCCAGCCAGCCAGCCTTTTACCTCTTTTCAGAAAGCTTGTCCTGCTCTCAGCACAAATCAGAAAGGTCACAGTGGGAGTTTTTCCTTGATGTGGCTTATCACAGGTAGTGAGGGATTTGCAATTCATCTTTTCTAAAATATCACTAATTTTTCAGACCATAAAGTGCTACATTTGAATATCAAATGTATGTGGCTGCTATAAAAGGTCTGATATATAAGATTTCTTTTGTAAACAGAACCATAT